TTCAAGAACGTATGTTCAAACAACACACACTCTTTTAGATTAGGTTAGTTTGGAGTGGTAGCCTAGTGCACCAAACCTCACTTTATCACAAATAATGATACTATATGACCACTATTAGATTTTTAGAAGTTCTTAACTTCGTACATTGCAAGGTAAAGAACACTTTTTTCTTGATAAATGGGATTCTGTTTTTTGCGAATCGTTAAATGAAACAATCTTATTAGTTACAATTAGTATTCACCGATTGTTATTTCTTTCTTATGAAGCTAATCTATATTGCATATAAACTAACACCATGAATCGAATAGTTGACTGATGGACCCAACTGGGTTTTTTCGATTGCGAACCGCTTAGAGAAATCAAAAATTTAAACTACTCCCTAGTCTCTGGTGTATTGTAATGGATTAAGATAGATAAACAGACATTAAATATATAGTGTTCGGATAGATCTGTAATATTTAAATAGTAATGCTATATTGAAATTACTGAACTATATAATAAGCATAAGATCACTTAAATCTTATTTTTAGTATTCCATAAACAAGACCTTACTCTAAATTATGACAGTGATAAAGTGATCTTAATAGTTTGATCTTAATCATTTTTTGAAGACTACATCGTTCTATAGCTAACCTTACCCCCGCGCTTGTACAATAATCCCATACTTTCTGGCTTAAATAAATCTAGGCTAGTAGGTATTAAGCCTCTTGCTCTAATCTCTCTACTTTAATTACTGGAATATAGTTTCTGTTGTGGACATTTTTTCCATTAATTCCAAAGAGGAGGTTTTAGTGGGTTCAAGTCTCATACTGCGGGTTTCGACCTACTGGAAAAAAAGACCATTTCTGATTGCAATGTATAAAGTACGTGTGTTCAGTATATGCCGTTTTCAACAATCTGCCAATTTCATTATAAACAATCCATGGTTGTTTAGTAGAGCAAAGGTTGTTTTATAAAAAATTAAACCACGAATGATCACTTGTGGGATCCTTTCTTTTTAATCTAATGACTTATAGTTTATATCATTCATATTCATATTTATATATATCTAATGACATATGATATTGATAGATATAGAGATTTTATTTATGTATTTGTGAGTTAACATTAAAATTAATTTTAAAATTAGATAAGAATAAGGAACTTGACTACTAGTTGCTTTGCTCTAATATAGAGATATACCATAATACGATTATATATGTATAAAGATCAAAAATATTTTTGGAACTTGAAATGATAGGCTTAAATTGTCCTTAAATATCTTCAGACAGTTTAACAATCATAATATATACAATTTTATAAGATTTTTGAAAGTAACAAAATTTATTATGTATAAATTTAAAAACAATATGGAACAATAATTGTTTATATGCAATCATCGTACTTATTGTTAGTTAATTTTGGCTGTTCATAAGTAAAGTAACAACAACAACAAGAACACGAAACTATTGTTAGCCAAATGTTCTTGATCAACCTCCATTTTATGCAAATGTTTCTTATTAACGTCATTGTGTGACAATGAGAGATCGTCGTCAATGTATTTCAAAGTATTTTCTTTGTTCATTTTGGCTTTAAAACTTTTTCGCTTTAAGAATTTTATTATACACTCGAATGTATCTCTAAAAATTTCGTGTCTTGTTGTTAGTGTGTATTTATTTAGAGGAATATTGTCGAAATAGTTGCGAATCGCATGCCAATGTGCAAGCAAAATAGAAGCAACCAACGACCGCAGCAACTCATTGCCAACAAGATCACGCAACAAGCGATTTATTGTAGGTTGCGATAGTTCTTGAGTTTATTTAAGTGGCAAAAATCTAACAACAAGAAGCTGAAAAAACAAATTGTTCCAGCAAACACTACTGACGCAATAAAATCATGTATAGATACGTCAGTAGATCTACAATAAAAAAAAAGATCTACAATAGAGCCAGCTTAAAGTAGAGGCTTTTTGAAATGTGACAGTTAATTATGTTGCCAAATGGAATAATCGAGAATTATAATGTACATATGGTAATCTAATAGTCTTATTTAAAAAACTATTATCAATAATTACATATTAAGTAGTTGTGTTCAAGAAATAATAAACATAATTTTAAAATAAAAATTATAAATGACAACTTAGGTGGTCTATTGTGTTTTTATTAAAAATCAAGAAATTCTTTGTAAAATATTAATGCATAATAATTCGAGTTTTTTGGTGAAGGGGTATCATCGTTGGTGCTCCACACTCTAAACAGCTGTTAAAAGATATATAAGAAATTTGAAAAGATTCTGTCAAAAGTTATACACTCTTTTTAATAAGTTCATTAAAATTATATTAACTCATCTCAACCAATCTGGATAGAGCTCTGAAATTATTTACAAAAACTGGCAGGCTTCTCAACACCACGTTATCGAATTTCAGAATAGTTACAGGCGCCTCGGAGGAGTTTGTAGATCTGAGGATAATTGCTTAGTTTGATAAAGTGATAAACAATAATCTTGTCAAGACGTAGAGAGGGGTTACGAAGAAATCTGGCAGTTAATAGAGAGTAGGAGTGCTCAAGTGCACTGACTCAAGTAGCCTCAACATAATAATAAGTATCTATCTATATATAAGGATAGTGAATTAATAACAAGAGAACGTGAAATTATATGTATATTATGACAGCTGGTAAAATCTAAAGCAACCGAATCTCTATATAATAACAAATTTTCATCATAATCATTTCTTAGCTATAACAATTCACAGTTTTTCCTTAATATACTCAGTAAATGGCTTGAAGATAGGAATTTTTGATATTTGCATCTACTGAGTTTAGCTATAGATTTCGAAGTTCTCTGTTTCGCTTTGTACCTATCTTATTTTCTTTTACGATTAATCTGACCAAACCACTATGCTTAGGTTACAAAAGAATAGTACTGAAATTAATTACAATTAAAAATAAAAATATAAATAAATCAATTATTCTATCAATTATTCAATATCGTTGCAATTTTAAATATTTGTGTAAACTTTATTGATCAGCTGAGTCGCTATCAATAAATTATGAAATAAAATACCGGAATTGAGCGAAAAGTCTAAACCAAAAAATTTATAAAGATATTTTTGTAAATGACTTGCTTGTGTTGGAATGCAACTCTGTATTGACAACAGATAAATTTATGCGATATAAATTTATTCGGTAAAATTTTCGTGCAAATTTATCAAATTTGTGTAAACTCTTTTTCATACAAAATTTGACATTTAATTATTCAAGCAGATACATATAAAGTAATCCCCTCTATAACGTGGTAGATTGGTTTCGCATTATAGGCGTATTCATATACCCCGTATATACACGTGCAAAGGTACGCGAAGGTAATTATAAGGGTACTGTGTTATAGAGGGGATTATTGTATACGTTTTTAAGGTTTATAAGGCATTTATTAATTTAGATGAGTATTATTTTTATAACAAGCAACCAAGTTATGAACATTATTGGTTCTTTTTACTAATATTAACTCCAAACAAGTATTTGTATTATTTAAAATATTAAAAACAAATATTAACAAAAAAATATTAAAATATTTATATAAACTTAAAAATTTAGTTTCTTTCGTCAAAACGGACACTAATACTATGTTCAGACACACCTTAATTTCGCAAAAATCTTAATTTCATCTTCGTTTCAGCAAAATTAAGTTGTTTTTTTCATACAAAATTTAGTTTTAGGATAGAACTAAATTAAGGAAAATAGCCTTAATTTCGTTGAAATGAAGTTTCAAATTAAGTGACATTTCAAATGCAACTATGTGTAAGATAAATTTTAATTTATTTATTTCTATTTGAGCCAGTACAATTGACCACTTTTACTCTTTCTTAACTCGAGATATTATTAAAACCCCTCTTTACGCTTTGACTGGATTATTGTTTATCACTTCATCAGACTAAGCAATAATTGACCTCAAATCTGCATACCTCCCCGACGAGCCTGTAACCATTCTGAGATTTGATAACGCGGTGTTGGTAAATCTGTCAGTTTTTGCAAATAATTTCAGGGGTCTATCCTTTATGTATTTTTTGATGGGATCAAACTTGAGATAAAGTTGAGATAACAAAAAATTGGCATTTTTTTTAAATAAATGTCAGTGACAGTTGAGTTTAATAAAACCGGGAAAATATTTTGAAATAGTACAAATTTTTAAATTTAAATGTAGAACTGTTATTAATTTAAAATAGAGTGAAAAATAATAATTCACATACCTGAAATCCATTAAAGATAATAAAACTACTAAATGTCATCCTTTATAGTTATATTAATCAAATTTTAAAATTTCCTAGATACAAATAGTGTTTGGAGCATGTAATTTTTATCATACGATTTTTAAACAAAAATCATACGATTTCCTTAATTTGGGGCAGTATGAACACTTTCGAAATTAACTTAATTTCATTTTTACGAAATTAAGGAAATTTGGCTATCTGAATATAGTATAAAATTTAATTTAATTTAAAATATTTATTTTATTTTTTTTCCTGTTATCAAAATCTTTTGAAGCCTTTGTGTTTTTCTGTCTAAATGCGCTCCTGCACAAACGTTTTGACGATTTGCAACAAATGTTTATGAAAGAGTCTTTGCTTTCATCGGCGATCGACAGCGAGAGAAAAGCTAAACTGCGAAGAGCAATACTGTAACATCTGTGGGCGTCAATGTGTACATACACACGCTCCAACACAGCCAAAGACATTAATAAATATTATTTATATTTTTCTTAACAATTTTGCAGAAAGAGTGAACAATGCCGTGCAGCAATTAAATTTTTTTTCCATCACACAATAAACATAAATAGAAAGAGACTACAAAGGAACACATTAGAATGAAAATAGCGAAAAGAATGAAAAGAAATTGGGTAAAAAATCATTGCTTTTAATAATGAATGGGATTCTTAAAATAACTTTCGCTTTTCACCAATAATAATGATAATAATAAATTATGTAATTTTTAAGCTTTAATTAGCATAACAAAAGCTGAACTTACGTGTTTAAAACGCATGCAGTAATCACGTTCTTGTACCAGCGCCGAGCCGAAGTCCACTTTTGGTTTGGGGAAAATATGTTGTTTGTTGCTGCCGTCCGTTTAGCTTTGTGTGCGTAATTTTTTTTTTATTAAAAAAATAAATTTATTTATTTTTTTTATTTTTTGTTGTTGTTTTGGATGTTTGTTCACTAAAAATTTTTAATATACGTTTAAAATTCACGATCCGCGCCCAGTTTTCCTTTTTTAGGGAGACAACATTTTGGGTGCGCTTTATTAAATATGCTCGTTACAGGGTGTTGTTGCATTGGTTCACATGCACATCAACTCAATTTATTTTGTCAGATAAACCCAATCAATCAATTAATCAATTCATATTTATTTTTATATTTGCGATCATAATTGTAAGCATAGATCACTTTTATTACCGTTTCTCTAGAAATTTAGCAGGTAATAAACAACAACACGACTACACAAAAACAACAAACACACATACAAATAGAACTACGGCGTCAACGTTTAACAATATACGAAGTGGCTGACTTTTTACGCAACGTGGGCGGCCAGCTGAGAAGAATCATTGAATTAAAAAACTAAATGCAAATAATGACAACCCAAAAAAAATTGTGCTTTCTACACTAAGCGGTGTGGCGGGAGTTAACGTTGAATTTTTTTTTTTTTTTTTTAACAAAAATGTAACTTCATACGACAGTAGGGCGCTATAATGTGATATTTTACGTTATACAATTTGGTCGCTTTTTAGTTTAGGTATTATTTAATATTTATTTTTAGCACTCCATTTTAAACACTTTCAATTAGTGTATTTTTTTTCTATTTTATTCATTATGATTTATAGTTATTTTATTTTTAAACATTTTTATTAAAATTTATTATTTTACAATCCCTGAACACATTTGCCGCAAACAAGAACGAACCACCACTCAACAACGACTAAACTAAAATTCCAATTAGAAATACTCACCTTGCTTGACAATGAATGCTCTTCTCACTTTTCTTTGACAGTTTTGACGTTTAATAGTGTTGAAAAACGCTGAAAATATATGCTTGTTTCGTTTTATTTGCAGTAGATACGAGATATTCAATAATAAAAACATTCGTTTAATTATTTAAACAATTTTTGATTAATGAAGTAAAAACGCTTGATAGTTTTATCATATGTTTTTCTTTATTTTTAATACAATTAACATAAAAAATAAACATGGGCATGATATAGTTTTCGGGAGGTCGTAATTTGATTATGGATTTTGATAAATTTCGTTGTATTGAGCAATGTTTTTAATTGCATTTTATGAAAAAATTGACTTCATTCGGTGGAAATTACAATTTCGTGAATCCACCTTAGTAAATGAAGGCGATTTTAGCGAAATCTGTCTTCAAATTGTAGCGCACCGAAAATGGTATTTGAGTAAAACAAAATAATAAGTTAATTTTCAAGGCTGAATGTTTATTTAGAAGATCAATAAACGAAATACTTAATTAATTGCGGCGGACAATTATGCTAATCAATGCCGTTGCTTGTAACTTATAATAAATGTGAAAATGTTAAATATAAATATCTAAAAAAAGGAATTCCCTTCTTCTGTTCAGCCACATCTTTCATAACCCATGTTTTTGTCTTATAAATTTATTCATATTTCCTGATCTATACGTGTCTCGGTGTACAGCATCATTAATTACTATTGCGTTTTTTACACAGACTCAGTGTTCTGTTCGAGCCTACATTTGCATAGAATTCGCATTCCTTATGCAGAAACAACTAGCCCTCATTGTTGTGAGAATATAGCAATGTTGTACATTTGTCTCACATAAATACTTTAATTTTAAATATCTCCTCAAACACATCAATTTTTCTTTTCCTCCGTCCCAATGAAGGTTTTTCCGTCTTGACCCAGGTTAACTTCATTTGAAATCCTACCTACTCTTGTTGCCAAATATTCCTCTTTTATAGTTTCTCTACCTAACCATTACCATTACCAACTTCTTTCATGTTATCTGCTCTAAGGGTCTTCTTGAGATACAACACAAACAACTACTGCTATATACGCGACTTGTCCAATTATTTACTTGTAATTAAAGTTTGTAACAATTTTTAAATTTATAATAATTGTTTAATGCTATAAACAATATATTTTATTTTCGTCAAAATGAACGTTAATATATTTAAAATTAATTTTAATTATTAATATTGAAGTACATATGACTTCGATCTTAAATTACATCATGTATTTATTATTCTTTTCTGAGAGATGTTTTGTAGAACGTTTTGCATCAAGGAATAACGAATGTACATCTGTTATATCATCCTGAGTAATCTGTGTGCGTCCATTAACTTTGCACATTTGGTAAGCCGGGGTTAGTAATTGTACTGCATAACGTAGTGTAGAGTTGCTGCCAATTTCACTGAGGCAAGCAAATGCGCTGTCCTCCAGTTGTAAGCCTTCAGTTTGTGCGCGTAACTTAATAATTTGTTCCATTTCAGTAGACGAATAGGGAAGAGTGCGTATGATGAGTAAACGATCGAGCAGATCAAGTGGTATACCATGAGGAGATATAATATCAGTGGTGCCACTAAAAAGAAACAAATTTATAAAATATACAAATTAATATAAAAATAAGCATAATTTCTCACCGTATAACACAACGTCCACGATTTGTAGCAAATATGACAATTGGTGCAATAGGTGATTCCAAAGATTTGTGTAAATAGGTGAAGGTTTCCAAATCAAGCATATGAATTTCATCAATAAAAAGTACACCAGGAACTAACTCAGCAATACCTTGATCAATGTATTTATTAACCACTTTGTTAATTTCCATACGTAACTTATCTGCAAATTAAATATTTTTGTCATTTATATTATAATAAATAAATAATAACACTATTATTTTAGGTTTACATACCAGTAATTTCAGTTTTCTTCGGTTTCATTAACTGTCCCATCATTGAGAGCACATCCTGACCGCCTTGTGGTCGTGCATTGGCCACATCTAAATCATGTAATGTCACATCCTGTATAACTTCCTTTTTCTTGTGTACATCGCCTTTGGGAAGTGGCACATATTCCTCTGTTTCCAAATCGAACTCTGTCGCGTAAGTATCGCTACGACCTTGGCGTTTCACGGCGCCGCTATTAGCTTCTATATAAATAACATCACCAACCTCCACCTTTTCCTTTTGCAAAGCATCGAAAATGCTAGGATCAAGTTTAAGTTGCTTAACACCTTTTGCAGTCTTTAAACCGATAACTACATTACTGATTGTTTTGCCATAGCCACCCATAGGATTTTCAGTTTCGACAGGAGTTAACTCAATTACCTCACCTTCGTATACTTCTTTGGTTTCACGTATACGCAAACCAATTGAACGACGGAAGTTCTCCATTAAAACTTCAGTTTTTTTAATTTCACTGCTGAACACTTCAGAGCCGACCATTGGGCAAAATGGCACTTTATTACCCAATTCCTGTGCTATAGCGAGTGCAATTGCTGTTTTGCCAGTTCCTGGTGGCCCAGCTAGTAACAATGCTCGCCCAGCCATTTTTTTCGATTTAATCAGATCGACAACAATACCTGCAGCTTCCCTTGCTGATTTCTGGCCAACAAGTCCTGAAGCAATTGTAATTGGTACGCCAGCATCATCTAAACCTAAGCCTTTAACGTGGCTATGAGCTGCAATGCGTTGAGTTCGTACAGTACTTTTGACTTCTTCGATTTTCATTTTTATAAAAATTTATTAATGAATTTGAATCTTTATACTTTATTATGACAATATTGATCAAACACAAACCATGTAAAAGCACACTACGCTTTAAATTTTTCTGCCGGCAGAAATTTCGTTGTCACGCAGATGTCAAAAAGAGTTTTTGTAGTATTCAGCTTTTGCTGCGCTCGCATAGAGTAAAAGGACTGGAAAACATAATTCAATTACGTTTAGTGATTTTTATCGCCAGATATGTTTACTAAATTTGTTATTTATTAAATCAATATATAATATAAATTACATATAAATATTCAATGATTATAAATTAGTTATTTCAAAAATATATTATTTATTTCTGGTGCTTGCAGTCTCAAAAAATTATTTACGAATAATTAATTATAAGAAATAATTCCAAGACTACTTATTATGGGCATTTGGATATATTCGAAACAGCTGTATACAGCCAAAAATTCAATAAAAATTAATTTTTGTGTTTGTAGTTCATACTTTTCGAAAAAACCTCTTTATTATTTATATATTTACATTTTGTGTTCACGAAAACCTTATTATTGTGTATACGCCAATATTTATATATCTGTATATAAACATGTGTTGATCATACATTTTGGGAAGTAATGTATATGAAAAGCCTTAAATAGCCTTTGTATGTCTTTTATATTATATACCCTGTTTTTACAAACTGAACATAGATCCAACATCTGTTTTCAGGATGATATACTTGAAAATGTGATGGCATTTTCGATTGGTAAATCTGAATTTAATTTAGTTTTACTCTCGAATTGTCAAATTTTATTGCCCAATCATATGTTATTAGAGTAATCTAACATTTTTGTAGTTGTGTTACGGGGCATTTATATCTATCATAAATACATATAGTAGGTCTGTTTTAGAAGCTACTCGTAGTAACTTTGAGTAGCAATATGTATACACAAGTGCGTCTCGGTGTTGAAATGAGACGCAACAACGTCTCCCTGTTGAAATTTGAAAATGCTAGACAGACTTTACTCGTGCATTTTATTTTAGTAAAATTTGTATGATGTGTGAATTAGCTGTTTTGATTTCAATTTAAATTTTTGTATTGTTTATTTGTCCGGCACTGATGTTCTCACCAGATTTTACACAAAGCAGTTCCATGATAATCTGTGTAGAGAATGTAATTTTTGTGTTACGCTCTCAGTTTGTACTTTACTTGTGTTTTACTTGAATTTTACTACGAGTAGGTCGTGGAACAGACTTAATATATCGAATCAAATCACAATTTATTTGTAAAGTCCTACAAAACGGCTGTTAATTTCAGGTAATTTTGCTACTCCGGCAAAATATCTAATGTTATAAATTAATCTCATATAAAACAGCTGTTAATTTCAGAATAATCTTGCTACTCTGACAAAGTGTGTTATAAATTAATCTCAAGTGATATATCGCTCGAGTTTTTTCAATTGGAAATGTAAATTGTTCTAAAAGTGAATCTCATATTAAATTCATATTATATTTTTATTATATTATATTTTTATCATATTATATTCATATTAAATTTTTTATCACAGTAGTAGTGTTTGATTGCTGCGGACCATCAAATTAGTGTACTCAAAACATTAGTTGCTATCTACAAGGCGATAATCGGTTACTAATGATATCTCTGCAATGGTTTAACACAATTTTAAACGTTTAAGATTTGAAGTAAGCTCGCACAATATGTAAGTTACTTTAATTAGTTACTTGGTATAACCCGCTGGGACCCGCTTGTAAAGTCTCTTTGGGTAGATTTGGACGGCACTTGGTTGTAGCTGGCGACGAGTGGCTCCGGGACGCACACTCGACCGTTCTAGTTACTAAATGTAGTTGGTTTAAATTTCATTTGTTGAAAGTCAGTTAAATAATATGGATCGGTACAAATGAATCAAGTAATAATAAGAGCGAAAAATTCTTTTATTCTATTACGCCTGGTGATAATGATCCGCATATTTGTGATGTGAGTATATTTAAATTAAAGTACCTGAAAATTAAATTAACATGGCATGGAGTATCTAAGTGGTGAGTTATTCTACAACTAAAAGCAAAATGAAAAAACATGGCTGAGGATAGTGCTATCCGTCAATGGAAACAGCTGATCCTAAAGTTTTTATTTTTAATTTTTATTTCTTAATTCTAATGTTATAAATTACTTAAAAATTGTAAACTCAATATATATGTTTACCACTGCTTTAGTATAATATATTAAAACTTTACAGATCAGGTAAAATTGGTGGACAAGTGCAGACTAAATGTTTGTCACCATAAGCATCGTCTATTCTGCCAACTGTAGGCCAAATTTTGGATTCGGGTTTAACAAAGAGCTATGAATAAATAAACCAAACATTATTTGTGATAAAAAAAGAAAAATAATTCAATCTACTTACCGCTGGAAAGGCTGCAACTTCCCGCGTGTATGGTCTATTCCATTTATCAGAGATAACTTGCGCTTGAGTATGTGGAGACATTTTCAATGGATTCACTTTATTATCCATACGTCCTGCTTCGATTTCGGCAATTTCAGCTCGAATTGATATCATGGCTTCACAGAAACGATCCAATTCATCCTTATCTTCACTTTCCGTTGGCTCAATCATAAGTGTACCAGCTACGGGC